TTTAAAAATGGCGCCAATTGCTCATTTCTATTCAAGTATCGCTAGCAGACTCCCGCCTATTAAGCCACATTTAACGCCAGGAAATGTTCTTCATTGGTTAGAATGGTACAGGAGCCAGGATAGGCAAAGAATGAGATTGACAAAAGAGGGTCCATTGCAAACTACACTTGCGAACGGAAACGAAAGTAGAGAAATTGTTTTGTTGCGTCAGAACTCTTTTTTTTTGCTGAGCCAACGTATCTTATGTTTCCATATCTGAGAGTAGACGATTGCTTGTCGCCCGAACCAGCGGAACCCAAACACTCTCTTCCCATGAATGTCGAGCTTAAGCGTGGCGGTGGCCACCGTGAGCGCGCTTCCTGTGGCGCATGGCGTTGATCATGCGAGGCTTCAAAGCTGTGGCCGAGATGGCGAAATTCGCGTTCTGGCCGACGGTGCACTGAGTACCAGCCGCCATCTGCTGGGCCGTGGTCCATTGACCGTTGGCGCAGCGCTGGAAGGAAGAGCCATCGATGCAGTTCCAGAGACCCTCGGTGCTGCAAGAGCCAGTCAAAGCTCCAGAGCTCGAGGAAGAGGAACCGGACTCGGAGCCACCGCCAGAAGACGAAGACGTGGGTGCGGCGGACTCCGTAGGCTTCGCAGGGACGACAGTAGCCGAAGTGGGAGCGAAGATTCCGGGAGCACCTGCAGACTCGGCAGGGTCGTCGCTGCTGGGTTCAGGCTCAGCGGTGGGAGTAGCACCGACAGTTGCGCCGACGCTGACGCTGACGCCGGCACCGGTACCAGCAGGAGTGGAAGAGGAGGTTGAAGGGGTGGAAGGAGAGCCAGAGCCGCCGCTGACAGTCCACGCGGGAGTACCAGAGCATGCAGCTTGACCAGCGGGCTGGAGGTTGCTGGGGTTTCCGTCGTACTCGACAACATCACCGGGGTTGGGGAAGCGAATGTCAACGCCCTCTTTGGTAGTGCAACCGTTGATGTTGGCGACGAACATGGCAGGGAAGTTGGCGGAGCGCTTCTCAACCTCGACCTTCTCGGCGACAGGGGCTGCATCACGCTTGCTGGAGCCGCCGGTGACCGTGATGGGAGCACAGTTCATGTACATTTCACGGTTACCGATGCGATTGAACCAGGTCCAAGCCAGAGTATATTTGCCAGGCTCAATGCCAGCAGGGATGGTGTAGTTGAATTCGAACGGATCCGGGACGTCAGCACCACCCGACATATTGCCGTCCACGTTGGCGGGACATCCACCTTCAATAGACTTGATAACCATCCACTTGGAGTCCTTGGAAGGCTTGAGGTCGGTGGTCAAACTGACCTGGCAAGAACCACCGCCGTGCGTGGCGCTGCCGGTGAAGGTCAAAGGCATAACCTCACCGATCTGAGCGATGGTCTCCTGCGAAGGAGCCACGAAGGCGTTGTCCCGGAGCTTGCAGGGGAAGTCACTTCCGTCAGCAGCGAGAGGGGAATTGTTGAGGCTCGAGTCGCTGTAGGGAGTGGGTTGCCTCATCTTCATATGAGCTTCGACTGTAGAGGCACCGAGCATGGCAACAGCCACGAGACCAGACTTGGAGAACATCATTTTGACAAGGGAGTGTCGGTTGTCGGACTTTCAGAATGACTGTTTGACAGCTGAAATGAAGGAGTGGCTGCAAGGCTTTCTGATCGTACCAGACGATTCAGAAATTGTAGAGACTGGAAAGTGGGAGCTTTCTAGGGATAGAAGTTAGCCAAGGAGGAAATCAAACGCGAGAATGTTGAGCGACTTTAAAAGTCCTCAACAGCAACACCTCGTCATTGGTAAGACAGTGACAGTAGTCCTCTGGCCCGCCTCTATTCATGTGCTCCACAGAAGACCAACAATAGAGACCGGTCACAAGGACATTGTAAGAGACAAGAGGAGAAGACGCTGAATAGGAGAATACGTAAACAAACAATACCTTTGTAGCGATCTCAGAAGAATCAGCGAGACCGTTTAGATGTCTGAGAAAGAAAAGCTTTGTGTTGTTGTCTGACACTTGTGTTTCTCTGCTTGCAGGGAAAGGAATGTAGGGGTCTGCCACAGGCAAAACACCAGCGTATCAAAAAAGAATGAAGAAAAGAAAGACAGGAACTGGCCTGTAAGAGACTGTCGAACAGTTGTAAGTCTGAAAAAACCGAAGCGCTCAGCGTTATGAGAAGGAAAGAATGCGAAGAGAGATCATTTCAGGATTATATAGAAGGCATTCACCTCACTAACTACCGTAGTGGGGTTAGACATCAGCTGCCAGTAAATCGATGCGATGAGCGCAGTTCCACTTGGTCGATTTCATTTTTTCTACGAATCTCCATCTCTGCAGGGTTCTCGAATTACTCAGGTCCAACAATAATCCAGCATGGTCGACAGGCACTACCAAGTAGCCCCAGGCGTGCTCCTCCGTACTGCCGTACGGAAAGAACATCTGGATCCTCAATGGATGCAACATGGACAACCTGAAACATCTAACAACGCGAAACTCCACTCGCACACTTTGTTCTGCCGATCTGTAGAAAACTCAGGTACGCAGCGGTAGCATACGCCACCGGATTGGAATTCTCAGCCGGACCCCTCTGCGAGAGACGTGCGCTGAAGCGACCTGAGTGGCTGTTTGGATTCGGCAGGAGAGAATGTGCATTGACGCATTGTAGCAAGTCAGCGATCAGCATGCTGAGGGCGCCAAGATACCGCCGGTTCTTTTGGACGTGGATGTCGCACCATTACCCAAGTGCAGGTACCTGACCTTAGCTGGAGGTGCACATTGGCTGGGGATGTTTGGCTGGTGGGCGCTTTGCGAGGACAGCGATGGCAAACAGCGGATCGCCGGCCAATCAGATCGAGAGTGAATACGGAGTATGTCTTTGCCTATTCTTGATGATCCTCCGTGAATTATAGTTCATTTTTAGAGGAGACAGTGGGACAATATCAAGACAATTATATTATTAAATAAATTATTGTCTACGGAGGATTCTGAGGTAGTATCTGTTACTGATACTTATTCAGAGAGAAAGATGTCAATTGTCAATGGCATTGAAGCCAATCTCATTTGACCAGCATATTGTGGATAGGTCGAGTGAATCAATATCAGTTCATTTGACAGGATATACTTGGCAACCAGCACACCAAACCTACGTGAATCTGCAATTCTGCCTAGTGCCAAAGAAATTATGATTGATGACTCGAAATCAGGTAGTTACGTCGCTTGAAGAGGAGTATACCCCTCTAGTGGCCGTTCTACAAAGCCGCGGTGGACGGCCCCATCTAATTCCAGATAATTTACACATCTAGCCCTCTACACGATGTCTCACTTCTCTTGGGCCACGGGATAGAGTAGTATCTGGAAGTCATCAGATACCCAGATAGAGTATCAACGTTGCATAGAATTCAATTGCTCAAAAGATTGGTCGACATATCCTGGTCCTAGACGTAGGCTGTTCGGTGCTCTCAATGGTGCGGCTTAGCGCCTTCAGACGTGGACTCGACTTTCCAACGTTAATTACACCACCATGGCCTGCAAGTTGATGTCAATGGTCATAAAATTGAATTTGCCAGCAGCAAGGACTGATCATGAGCACTATCTAGATAGGTCGACAGAATATTAGGCATGTCCAGCCTCCTCCTCCCAGCCATGGATCAATTCTCCGCATCCGACCCATGAAGCGAGATTATCTGGAACCAACCGACGGAAGTTTCAGGTGATCACAGCATTCAAAAACATGTGATTTCAAGTAGAAATTAATACCAAGAAACACATCTCGCTTGAAATTAGGCCATGACCAAGCGAAAGCGATGTTTCAAGGAGTCAGGTTGCCCCTATTGGAGACTCAAAATCGCGACCGATGAGCTTGTGGAGTCTTGGCAAGTAACCTCATGTTTCAGTTAGATGTTTCCAATTACCGTGTGGTTCCTTCCCGCCGCTTGTTGCCGATGACTCGGTACTTGTTTCCTCGCTAAGGAGGCTCATGAATTCACTGTGCTCAAGGTGATGCCAAGTAAACCGAAGGCAACTGATACAGTAGTGGGTGGCTATCTACCCATTTAGGGAGATGATCCATTGACTGATCAAGTCAGATGATCGGGTCTCGATGCGAATAGAGTATTTAAGGCAGGAATGAGTGTCGCTGCGCTGTCAAAACTACAGTAAGATATCTATGAAGAGATAGCCTCAGTTGCGATGATTGCATCTGCACAATCGGGCTGCAGAGTGCCTTGTGTGACCAGCGGCTGTATCATTTGCATCGCGTAGGGTAGGCAGGTACCACATGGCCTTTGCAGCCCATTTACCTGTCAGGTCCCGTGTCGTGTCGTACTATCGTGGCCACTTCCATTTATTAGAATCCAGCTAGCAAAATAAACGTGGTACTTCCCACTCGTAGGTTCATTCAGCTACAAGTCGGCGCACTACTTGGGATTAATCTCTTCGCCTTTCATGTGATGTGGAGTTATGAGCTCCCAAATGTCACCTCAGGCCATGAGCCCAGTAGGCACCAGTACAGCATCGAATAGTACTGATTTGGCTGGCAAGGTCAAGATCAGACTGGTCGCTAAGCCGTCCGTAGCGTGTTCGTCTGTTTCAGCAGCTTGGTCGAGGCGAGAACTCGATTGATACATTGTCAAGTGGTCCCATAATCGAACGTTAGGCACTGTTCGTATCAAAGCCTTCAATTTTCCTGGCGGAAGTGAGCCAAGCTCCCAGACTCGTCTAGATCGTCAGGGTTCTGTTTTGATGATTATTTCGTCCGACATTGCTGTGGATCAGCTCGGCCGTCTCGTTGATGGTTCGACTGTCCATCAAACTGTTGCATTCAGTCTTTACGTCATGAACTGCTGGAGCTCTCGTGGACCATGCACTGTTCTTTGGTTGAACTGATTCTTCCCCTGGGACGCTCGTCAGGAGCAGCCGTAACTCCAATAGACAACTATAGCTGAATGCCGTGGCAGCAAATCCGCCAAATGAGCCATGTCCCTGCGCAAGGAAGAGCAATCATTTCTTCCCTTTCTTTCGACCCTTTTCAGCAGCCCCTGTAGACTCCTTGACGAACCCACCCTTGATCAACGCATCCCGACCGACGGCGTTGATGATTCGAAACCGGTCCGGCCCAAGGAGAATCCCACCGTACCATCGCGATACGACGACAATCACATCCCACACATCCATTAACTGCATGAGGTGGAGCAATCGCCCACCAGCAGCCGTCTCCCCGTCATCATCGCAGTCCTGCACAATCATCTGTGCAGACTCGCCTTTCCCATTGGCCGGTTTCTGCTGTCTAATACGCCAAGCGCTGATATTATGCGTCGCAGCAGCAACCTTCTTATCCGTCGCCAGAAGATGGTCCAGATACCCCTGAGCCTGCTCCAGACTGGTAACATGCGCCGCCCGTCCCACAAACACCGATTTCTTCTCCGTCACCACATCCGACAGCACCCAGTCGGGGAGACTGTCCAGCCCAAATGCGTCTTGCAGTGAGAGGGTGGCGATATCCTCTGCGACCCGCGCAGGGGCTGCACTTGTCTCTGCTTCTGCTCCCTTCTTCTCGCTCTCCTGGTTCGTGTTGCTGCTGCTGTTGTTGCCGCCCAAACTGAGCTCTCGGAACGCCTCGACCGCCTCATTGATGACATCGAACAGGCAAACAGCGCCGGGCTGGTATGTCCTCCCTACAATATCCTCCAGTACATCCACGGCGATCTTTCCCTCACCGCGTGCACCGGTCGACGCCGTCCCGAGAATTTTCGGCGGGGTATCCGGGTATGACGCATGGAAACCGAGGAGGAAGGATAGATTGGGATGATCGGGGATTTGCAGTTTGACCGTAGTGTTCGATGAGTCGCCGGGTCCGGAGCCGCCCAAGTCTAGTGTTGAGTTGGCTGTGGCTGCTGATGTTGCTGCGCGGTGGACGGTGATGGTGTCAGGTTCGTAAATCGCATTGATAGCTTCGATCTCTTCGGCGAGGTCAGTATTCGAAAGTAAATCAGTCTCTGATGTCATTATGCCCGTAGCCTTAGAAAGAGGTATCTAGACACTTGCTCGAGGCGAAGAGACCGTGAGACATAGTTTCCTTCATAGTGATCAGTTTGTGGTCGTATGGTCACATGACATGAGCTTGGGATAGCTCCCACTCTGCAATTGTCCAAGCAATTATGGTCGATTCTTGGGTGGCATTATATGCAGAAACAGGGCCCTTATTCTGCTTTCAGTGGTGGATATCAAGTCTTTTCAAGCCAGTGATGCTCCTTTCGATGGGGTTGGTAGTGGCCAGTTCACAGTCGTTTTGGCTTTGCATTTACTCCACAAACATATATTTTTGGTGTAGAGGTAAGGCACTACCTGTGCAACATGCTAATATCTATTACCATCGATGACTCGATCACGCTTTTGTGAAGGAACATATCATGATTATGGACTTGCCTAATACTGAAGTCGCTCATCCAAATCGCCTTGATGCTATTACAAACAATCAACAACCAAATCCCATCATATTTCCCATGCCTTCTACCTGCAGATTCCTGAACTTCTGCGATAATTCCTCGGTATCATCCAAGCCATCCAGATTCTTCCTTTGCCAGAATGCGCGAAAACCCTCCACCAGTCGGTTTGTAATCACCGCCACATCCTTTTCAGGCATCGGGGCAAAACATAATCGGAAGTACTGCCAGGCTTGATCCAAGGCCTTCTGTGAGGGCGCAAACAAGTCGCCCGGAACCATAAGACACAAGAACGGCTCCTGTGTCATGTGCACCCACAATGCCTTGGACAGCGTTTCAAGCGAATATTTGTCATACAGAGGATGGGTATTGAAGAGTACCTTGATCCAGACAAACATACCCCCCATGGGCCAAGTGAAGTCATACATTTGAACTTTGTCAATCACCTCCCAGCCACTTTCCTCGCTCGACTCGGAGGGCTCCGATCCATCGCCTCTGATGACATACTTGCCTTCTTCAAGACTGATGCACATGGCCTGCATGCGCCGCTCGTATGATCCTCGAAGACCCTCAAGCCAGCGAACCCAGCCATCCATCTTCCAGCCTGATTTACTTTTGCTTTTGGGACCTCTGACATCTTCATCACCTTGTTGACCTAGGATCATCCCCGCCACCATGGCCTGGACGAAACCGGATGGGAATTGTGTCGAAGTCTCAGTAAGACGGGTGATCCTCTCGATGACGGCAGGCTGTGCAGTAATCCAACCCAAGCGGCAACCGGGCGCAATGGTCTTGGAAAATGTGTCCAATCGGATGACTCGTCCATCCGTATCTAGAGACATAAACGATGGTACAAGAGAGTCCAAAAACGGGTATCCGGACGATTTTCCATGAGCATTATCATTTTGCGTGGTAAGTGACTCGTCAATGGGTGTGTTACGGTAACGAGCCGCCATTCTTTGAGCAGATGGATACTGCAAATTCCAATACGGATCATCCTCGACAATGATAATGTCGTACCGCTGGCATAGAGCGTAGATCTCTTTCCTCCGATGGATTGACATGGTGCCTCCCGTGGGATTTTGACCAATCCTACAGCCGCGCGAGAAAGGGCGGAATCGTTAACTGCATGACCTGCACCAAGTATTGCGACAACCAATAACGACCTTGACTGTTGAACTTACGTGATGGTATACAACAAATGAGGACGACGTCCTTTGCGGTAATCCCAGTTTTCGAGAACCTCGGCAAGACCACCTTTGCCGTATGCCAGTATACCTTGGGCATCCATAGTGACCGCGGCTATGTTAAGACCACGAGGCCGAGCTGTTTGTATGGCATTCATGTAAACAAACTCCTCGCAGAGGATGCCCTCGCGCTGTCGAATCGGATCCCCATCTGGATTCCAGGTGTTTGTGAAAGTTTCGATAACTTTGTTGAATCCATCGGTCGCACCGCAGCTGAGCAGAGTTTCTGGACCTCCCGCATACGGCACATTGGGGTGAAGATGCTCCCTTGTGAAATTCCGAACGAATGATGCCATAGGAGGCAATCCCTGAGCCGTGCCGTACTGCAGGGCAGTGGTGATGTCAATTTTCTTTTCCAAATCGACCGTTCTGCTCTCTTTCGGGACAACTACGCGGGTTGGTGAATCTGTATCCTTCTCCGGCGCCGATTTGCCGTCGTCCGGGCTAGGGTCGAAACGCTGAGGATGAGCAACGGCAGCTTCTAGTGTATCATACGGAAAATAAGAAGCGTGAGGCATGCCTGCAGGAAATGAGTTGAATGCATTGATTAGACGATACTATCAGAAAAAGCTCGCCCTGCATACCGCCCGAGAGGTTTCCCATGCCCGGAATGACATAGTACTTGTATAATCTCTTGAGATTACTCGACTCACGCCGAACTGTAGTAGAGGAGAAGTGATGCGACAAGTCAAATGGAGCGGACGGCTCCATTTGCTTCAACCGAGCCATCTTGAGCAATCAAGTCCTTTCACAGCAATTTGAAGGAGGAAATGGTGGATGGGGAAAAAGAAGGACAAGCGCCAGGTCAACCAGGGGATAAGAAGAATCAGGGCACCCTGATAAAGGGACCATGGATCATGCCCCGTTATCTCTTGCTAGTCGACCACGCGAGAATCATCAGAAATGTCATGATTGATAAGCAGCTTCAACGGTTAGATAGTGGGCCATCCGGCGCCCTGCCTCTTGGCCACGGCAAATTCTACGGAGTATCTATGTATGACTCGTGGACGATTGCTAATCCGGTAATTATTAGCCAGAGGACCATAAAATATGTTCACTCGAAAGAATGTCCACATTCAATGCTCAATCTGAATGAACAGTCGTCCAAAGTCAGATACATGATGACCGTTGTAGATCATTCTAGGAGCATGGGGCGATAACGGTCAAACAACCATGATAGCATCACATCAACTACTACAGAGTAGTTGTTAGGCTCTACTTGGCATATCTAACCAGCTTTGATGTGCGGCAATGGTCTGCAATTATATTACAACTGCATTGTGCTAGAATGATGCAGATCCGGGGAAATCCAAAGCTCCACACTTTCGTATGTTGATACTAGTCAGCACAGGACCTCTCTGCGTAAGTCGATCTGTTTGTAGTCTATCACCGGTCCTCTGTAAAGAGCTATTTTTCTTCAGCAGCGAATGCTACTAAGTGCTATCTACTACTCCATCCTAATCCTATCCGAATATCTTCCTTTGCCACCTCCATGGAAATGTCTTCGCGCCACGAGCTTAGATAATCCAGTTTGATAGGCTCGTCACAGGCAGGTGACAGCAGATGACTAAGGCCGTTGTCGATCTTCAGCCGGACAATGACATCCCCATCTTGTCCAACATTCACCTTTCTATCGTTCTAACCTTTGGAATAACCCGATACCCTCATTATCATCTGTAACATTGGAGGACATGCCTTTCTATTCCAGAAGAGAATGAGTGGTGTTCTTTCACTGGCTGTGAAATACATTCTTTTTACTACTAGTCCTCTTGACCCCACTCCGGCCATCTTATCGGCTTAGATCGATTAGCCTTCTCTTTCCGCCGACCCCCAGTCTTGATATTGATATCTGTCACTGGCTTGATATTTGCGTTATAGAGACGTCTCACAATGATTGGTGAAGGTCCGGAGGACGGTTCCCGAGTCTATATCCCACCAGTTCTCGACTCCGAGAATCGTACCGCGGATCCCGATACTTCCGATGACTGTTTGCTCCCTCAAGATGAAGAGGCCAGCCCCAATTATGTCCCCGTCTGGTTACGTGAATCCTCCAAGTCGTTTCGCTGGGGCTGGGTACCTCTACCTATTCGGAAGGTTGGACGCGCTACTGCGGATTGGGTGAAGGGCCCGAATCCTCCACATTCTCTGCCGCTTAAACCGCTATTCCCGCAAATCCAAGAGCTTCCGGTCCGGTATCTGAACCGATTGTTCCCTAAGCGGAAACACAAGATCTCTTTACTTGTACTCTTATATATCGCTTGGTTTACTCCTTGGGCTATTGTTCTGCTTCACTCTCGTTCGGCTGGCTACATCGAGGGATATGGACGACCGCAAACCCTTTCGTGTTCGATGACTTTTTGGTGCGGATTCCTTGCTTGTTGTGTTTAAGAGCCTGTTCTGACTACCTATCAGGGAACATGGAAATGGATGCGGTCTCAACGGGAACGATTGCCGTCCCTTTTCTGCCTCGACCGTTGCTTTCCGTTGCCCGGCAAACTGTCACGACGTCAAATTGTTGCAACCTCACACCGTTGGCAACCAGACTTACAGCTACCGAGGACTAGTCGTCGGAGGACCACAACCAGGTTCGTCCGAGCTCGGTGTGTACCGAGCCGACAGTTTCGTGTGCCAGGCCGCTATCCATTCTGGGGTCATCACGAACGCAGTTGGCGGCTGCGGTGTTGTGAAGCTAGAGGGAGCGGCACACTCGTTCCCCGCTTCGAAACAGAATGGGATTCAGTCTGTGGGCTTTCCGTCGACTTTCCCGAAGGCCTTCAGCTTCGTCGACCTGGCTTCGTCCCAAGCTACTTGCCCTCCAGATCCGAGGTGGACTCTTTTGGGCATAACCATCGTCGCCCTCGCACTTCTGTGGCTCTTCTCGACGTCGCCGTCGGTCCTGTTCTTCAGCACCTTTTTCATGCTCTTTTGTCAAGTGGGATTGGTGTCTGATCCGCCCTCAATTCCCCAGTTCGCTGACCTTGTGTCCACTCTAATTGCGCGATTACTACCAGCATCGTTTGTAGTCTACGTGCTGTACAAGTATTGCGCGCGTCCTCTCCTGACGCCGCTTTCTTTGCCCAAGTTCCAGTTGACCAAGACGTTCTTGTACCTGCCACCCGCTTTCATCGGCGCCTTGAACAATTACACTTTTGCGAGATTGATTCCGCTGGAGCGTCTGACTCCTCATGATATTCAGCGGCAACCGGGAGCGAAGTTGGCATTGGCCTTGGTGATTCCGACCGTCATCATAGTTATCCTCAGTCAGGCCTGGCAAATCCGCCAGGGTGGTTTGATGCCGCATTATCTCAAGGTGTAC